GCAGGAATAACGAATGAGATGAAATATCATGTCCAAGGAAAAATCACATAAACACAAGAAATTACTCAAATCACCCTTCTCCTAAGAAAATCAAAATCAAATAACTAAAAAAAATTACTGGAAATACTTTGCATCAAGCTCTTCTTATGCACATCATAAAACAAATTTAGCACTTCAGCACAAAACAAGAGTATCTTCGGCCAACAGAGGTGCTTTTCACTGTCGCAACCGCAAACAACTGGAACCCGTCATTAGTACAGCCGCGCCGCCCCTTTCAAGGAAGGCGATCGACTGAGCGTAGTAAGGGACATCTAATAGCGCAATAGCCGTGAAAACAAAACAAATCGAGATGAGAATCAGGAAGCTGAGGTTAGGATGGATTAGACAATTGTAAACAAGACGAGCTATCAGCCCGGCCAAAAGGTTTTTCCTTTCTTTTCACCTCGATTCTGGTTGCGGTTTATTATATTTGAAAATCTTACATTTATGTTAGGACTTTTAAGCTAAAGCGCGCGGGGGAAAGAGAAGAAGGGGGAGAAAGGCGAGGGTTACCTTCCTCTATGGTTTTTGATAGGGGCGGACCGGAAGGAGGAGAAAGATGGATGTTTCGGAGGTCTTGTTACGTCCTGATCCCGTCGTTGCCTTCGGTCACAAAGGCGAAGGTTTTAGGCGAAACCGGTAGGAAGGAAGGGTTCCGGGCACGAAAAATTACTCCATGCGTTGCAGCCAATGAAAAAATGTCACGTGGAATCAAGCCTCTATTATTATTTAGGTTAAAAATTCTATTTTATGACACCCGATTTGACAAAAAAAAAACACATTTTTGATAATTTTTGCTTCTCGCTAATTGGAAAAAAGTCTTATTTTGTCTCCTTTAGATATAGTGATTCAGGATATTCTCATTTTGTTGCTTTTCTAGGATCCATTCGTATTCGATGGACCTGGTTCGATGGAAGTATTTCTTGACGAGAAAAAGTTGTTGGAATCTCAAAATACTTGTGATAAACATGACATTGAGCTGGAATCTCAAAATATTTTCGAGAATCATGAGAATAAGCTGAGTTTAAATGTGACAGAAGGAATTCGACAGGTAGGTTATACTTCTTTGACTGCAGATTTAGGTTTCAAAGAATATTTGTTTTGTTAATGAAGTTTGTTCTGTTTTTATCTGACGTGTAACGCTAAGTTTCGGTTAGGGTGGAACGTGGTGTTATTTAGGTAATATCATGGTGCTATAGTGGTTGTTTTTGGAGTTGTTTTTCATTTCTGATTGTTCTGCATATTTTTAGTGGGTTAAATAATTGTCATAATGAAGGGTTGTTTTTGTCGCCGTGATGAGGTTAATGGGTAGCTATTCTCGTCACCGTAATGGTGTCAAAGTGTTACAGAATTATTTGTTTGTAACGTTATTGTTGTGGGGATTTGGTATTATTTTGGTAATATCATAGTGTTTTTAAGGTGATATAGGATCTGCTGGCTTGATTTTGTTTTGTTGTATTATGTTGATGTTTAATGGTGTTATGCTTGTGTTATTGTGGTGTTATGCAGGTGTTTTTTGCCTGTAAGGTCTCCTATATGGTGGGGTGGTAATGTGGTGTTATTTTGGTATTATCAAGGTGTTATCCTAGTATTATTTGATCTAATTAGACGTTTTATCGGAGTCTTATATTGGCGTTATAATTGTGTTATCAGGGCGTTATTGTGGTTTTATCATGGTGTTATGTGTCTGTTTTAGGCTTTTAACGATGATGCTCGTAACATTTCTTAACGAGATTTGATTTTCAGGTTATATTGGCATTGCAATTGTGTATTTGGGTATATTATAGTATTATGATGGTGTGATTTATGTATTATAGCCTTGTATTGATTTCCTTTTGGGGTGCTAATGCTGATGTTTAAATTTGCAGTCACCCGAGACAGAGAAATTGCTTCATGCAGTTGTCCACAATGAGAATAAAGCCTACGAACAATATTGTGTATATGCACACCATATTGAATTTACTGTGTGAAAGGACCACAGTGGTTTTTGGCCAAATTCAAAGAAGATTAAGACAAAGGACTTTGTTTGTGGTAGGGTTGCTTTCAAGAAAGTGTTGAAGAACACTATCATGGTGAGGTTCAAAAGAGCGGACATAAGGACTGGTTGTCCAGCCATGATCTGATCTGTTGTTGATTTAGAAGGCAACAGATTAGTTAAGAAATTCATAGAAAGTCACAACCATCCGTTGGCGGAGGACGGCGCCAAGGACGGTGACAAGCATCTATTGCATTCCAACAGAAAGATGTGTAACATCAGTGCCGATATCCGCAAATCAATGACAAAATCAGGGATTAAAACCAGTGATGTATTCAAATTCCTCTCTACTAAAGTCGGAGGAGTGGAGAATCTTGATTGCACGAAGAGGGATGCGCATAATTTCATACAAAGAGAGAGAAGAGTTAAATTGAACTAGGGGATACTAATTCTCTCATACAATTGTTCATTACGCAGCAAGCGGAGGATCCAATGTTTGCGTGGGACTTCCAAATTGATGAGTCGGGTTGTTTGGTGAATTTTTTATGGTGCGATGGGTTGACCAGGATTGATTATGAATGTTTTGGAGATGTAATAATATTTAATACAAGTTATAGACTGATAAATATCATTTATGTTGTGCTCCAATTATCGGTGTGAATCACCACTGGCAAAATGTTCTCTTTGGTGTTGGTTTTTGTCAAATGAAACGATTAAATCATTCAAGTGGTTATTCAAAGCCTTTATCCGTATAATGCATAACAAACCTCCAATAACAATATTCACTGATCAGGATCAAGTAATGTCTAAAGCCATTGAAGAGTGTCTTCCGCACACCAGACATAGATTATGTTGATGACACATTTTCAAGAAATTATCTTCAAAAGTCCATTGTAGCGTGGGTAGCAAGAGATTCAATGATCTTTTTTTTATAAATGCTTGAGCAGATGTAACTCAGAAGAGGAGTTCGAAGAAACTTGGGGTTAAATGATCGAGAAAGGAAACCTACACGAGAATGTTTGGTTGGATGAATTGTATAATATCAGACATAAGTGGTCAACTGCCTTCAATAAAGAAATTTTTGGAATGAGGATCCTATCAACACAAAGAAGTGAGTGCACTAATAAGATTTTTCATGGCGTCTCCAAGGTAACAAGCACTCTCGCCGAATGTTTTTTGGGTCTTGAAAATGTCATGAAATCTTGGAGAAGAAATGAGAATGATGAAGATTTTAAATGTCAGCAGTCTGCAATTTCTCCCACTGTAAAAAGTAGTCTCATGTTGAGACAGGTTGCTCTACTTTACACAAGGAAGTTATATTCAATGTTTGAAGCACAGTTTCTACATGGTTTGTGTGGGCTTGTTGTGGAGTGCTCAATATGGATTCAAAATTTCATATTTGAACTCTCGATAATAAGGACAGAGACAGACCATGGATTGTTAAACTGGACAGAGGTAATTCTGATATTACCTGTAGTTGTAAAAAATTTGAAATGATGGGCTTATTATGTGCTCACGCTCTAAGGGTTCTTCAGCACAAAAATGTAACAAAAATCCTTAATAAATATATATTACTTCGGTGGTCTATTAATTCTAAAAGGGACATATATAATAGTTATGGTTATGCACATCGTGAGGGGTCAGAAATGTTGTCGAATACTGCAAGTGGACTCATCTATCTCAATCACATTCATAAATTTGCATACTAGATCAGCACCAGAACGCGAGGACATGAACTTGCCGAGAAGCTTGCGTTGGAGGCATTTAATAAACTAACAATCGATGTCGAAGCCATACTGAGTGGACGAGAACCTCAGAAAAATTCAAAATCAAAAATTCAAAATCAAAGAAGAAGAAGACACTGAGTAAAGAGCGAAAAGTGAATGATCCCACGAAGATGCTCCCAAAAGGAATATCTAATTCAAGGTTAAAAGGCTACTGGGAAAAAAACAAGAGAATCAAAAGTAAATGTTACCTATAATCTTAAGTGGTAAATGTTACCTAAATGTTACCTATAATCTTAAGTGCTGCTTTGGTTTGCTGAAACATTACTCGCTAGCTTGTAATAGTGTATACAAGAAAGGAGAAAGATAATGGTTCAAGTCATGATAGCGTTCTGCAATGCGAGCCAAATTTTTTTTTTAATGGCGGATCACTTTAGTCAGGTTGAGAACTCGATGTTGTTGAAATTTTTTCTTTGTGGTTTTTATTATTTTGAAGAATACTTCTTTCCTGACATTTACTCATTACTACTATCATTACTACTATCAATGAACAGGAATTTTCTGAAACACAACACACAAAGAAATATACTAGCTTATTAATGGATACATATGATAATATATAGAACGTGTTGCCATAATACGGGTTTGGGTTTATCATTGTATGTAATGTTTAAACTGCAATAGAGTATTTACTCAAGAGTTATTATTGTCGTATTATCATTGTTTAAACTATAACAGACTCTTGTATTATTGTCTTTTTATTCAGGAGTTATTATAGGTTTATTATTGTATAGATATATTGTAATATTATTATTTTATTACGGGTTTATTATTGTCACGTAAAAATACTGAAGTACAACCACTGTGGATAAAACCTTGCGAAAATTCCTGCCCCTCCGCCTGGTTTAATTGGAATATGTGGCGGCATATTCCAATAAAACCAGCTCTTGTGGAACAGTATATAAGAATACAACCTAAACACGACCGTAAAAAAATCGAAGTACAACCGTTGCAGATAAAACCTTGATAAAATTTCTACGGCTTGCCTGGTTTGATTAGAATCTCTGACGACATATTCCAATTAAACCAGTGCTCGTGGAGCAGTATATAAGAATACAACCTAAACGCGACCATAAAAATACCGAAGTACAACTGCTGCGGATAAAACCTTGATAAAATTTCTGTCGCTCTGCTTGGTTTGATTGGAATCTCTAGCGGCATATTCTAATAAAACCAGCACTCGTAGAACAGTACATAAGAATACAACCTAAACACGACAGTAAAAATAACGAGGTACAACCGCTGCGAATAAAACCTTGATAAAATTTCTGCCGCTCCGCCTGGTTTGATTGGAATCTCTGGCAGCATATTCCAATAAAATCAGCGCTCGTGGAACAGTATATAAGAATACAACCTAAACATGACCTTAAAAATACTAAAGTACAACCACATATTCTAAAAACCGCATATCCTTAAAAAATAGCGGTCGTTGACCAATGTATTATAATAAAACTACAATACTGTTGAGATACAACCACAGTATAATATCACTTCTAGTAAATTAAATAATTCAGGAACTCAATTTTGTTAAAATCTGTGTATTTCTTAAAATAATAAAACTGTAATATTATTTTGAAATAAAATCTGTATATATCTCTTGCCTCACATTTACTAATGAATATTCTAAATGACAGTTACTAATGACTATTCCCTATTCCTTAACCTTTCATTACTTACTTTTAAAGTATTAATGTCATTTTATTCCGGAGCTATTAAGGATTCCAACAGGAGGGGAGGAAGGCTGGGCAGATTCGTCATCAGCATGTGAGATTCCAACAGGAGGGGAGGGGGCTGTGAAGATTCCTCACCAGCATGCGGAATTGCAACAGGAGGGGAGGGGGGCTGGGCATATTCCTCATCAACATGTGGGATTAAAACAGGAGGGGAGGGGCGTTGGACATATTCTTCCTCTAGTAGTATGCCTGTATCAGCTCCGTCTTTTTAATTTTTATCAATTTTATTCTGTAGTATGAACATTTGGTCTTGCAGACCCGAAACTCCAATAGTTATTGTATTAAGAGTCTCTTGGAACTCCTTGAACCATTTCTCATGTCCTTTGATCAGATCAATTATTGCTTCAAGCTTCTCGTTCATTACATTGTAAATTGGTTCCAGGGCAGTCTCCCCTGAGACCACTGGCCCTATATCAAATGATACAGGAGGTTCTGCTCTAACTTCAGGCTGACGGTTTTGAACATGTATAACTGGCGCTGGACTGGGTAGTCCCTCATCTGGATTGGCCAGCAAATTGAGTTCCTCCTCTTTCAGATCCAAGAATTTTTCATTGACCTACAATTTGTTTCAAGATAAAAATACCTTAATCACTATTCCAAAAATAAATTATTTAACAACAGTGTAAATAATTGACATGTTCACCTCTTAAAGGCTACATCTATCAGTGAAGAGTTCAAGCTAATAGTTGTTGGCCATCTCAACATTCTGGGTCTGGCCTCAGCATCGGCAGGAGTTACCACAGATGTATGCTAAAAAAACTAGAGCTGCATAAAAATACTAAATATTCAACATAAAATGTAATTAATAAATAGTAACGATATTCAACTTATACAATATAATGAACATAAGCAAATAAAGAAAACCATTTATGTATCCAATAGGTTGGTTCCGCAATAATTTGATGGTCACTGCATTAATTTGCTCAATAAGGAAATCACAGAGCGCAGCCGACCAATTAAATGAGGCAAAATTTTGTATACTCTCCCCAAAGTTATTAAGTCCTTCGGGTACACTAAAATTACTGGAGGGAAAAAATAGATTTGATAACAAAAAAATTTATAAACAATTTAGCAAAAGGGGAAGAAGATCCCCCTCTTGCAAAGTCCAATAGATTATTCTTCATCTGCTGAGCATCCACGCCAGAAGATGGACATTTACTCCATTTTAGCACTGCACCTCTATTTGTCATGTCAATTAGCAGGGCAACTTCATCGGGCAACAGCCTTAGCTCTTTTCCTCCAATTTTGAAAACCATTTTATCATGTTTCCAGCATTGCAAAATTTGCAGTGTCAAGACATTCTCTTGAGGATAAGGAGGAAGCTCTAAGAACTGCTCATTCATTGCTTTAAGCTCATTTCTAGTGCCCTCAAATATTGAATGACTAACATTATCTAGCACATCTCTCACTACAGATGGTCGGCATCTACAGCTCATTGATCTTGGGTTCATAAACCTGCAAAAATAATACAATGCAACAAATATCAAGTGTTATTTCAATGGTATTTCAATGTCATTATTAAGATGTTATTTAGGTGTGGTTGTATTATTATGGTATTATTAAAGTATTATTATGGTTATATTTTGGTGGTATTATTCACGTAGTACTACGGTATTATTACTGTTATATTACAGTATTATCAAGGTTATATTTCGATGATATTATTCTTGTATTATTATGTTATTAGTACGGTATTATTATAGTTATATTTCAAATATATTACGGTATTAACTGTTTAACTAGTACTATGGAATTATTACAATTTTATTTGCCTTTATTATTCAGTATTAATCAAGTTTTGTATAGAAGAATTGCATTTTAATTAAAGGAGTTGCATTTTATTTAAAAGAACTGCATTTTATCACCGTATAAAACTATTACTGGAGGAACCATAGTTTTATTACGTTTTAGGTAGTATTACGATATTAACTGCATTTTACCATGGTATTATTTAGAAGAAAAAATACATTTTAATTAGGATATGTTCTGATATTATCACGTAAGGTTGATAATCTTTTCAACGAAAAAACGAACAAAAAAATAAAATATTACCTAGAGAAACCCTCTTCAATAACCTTCTTCTTACGATCATTGGTTTTTTTCTTCTTATGTTCATCAGACTGCATTCTCGGCGGCTCATCTTTGGTTTCCAATCTCAACGGCTTTTCGGCTTCCACTATCATAGGGTTTTCTTGGGTTTCCATCTCAGAAGGCTTGACTTCCATCTTGATAAGCTGAACTCTAGCGGTGAACTGGCGAATGTACTTCGACCGGCAAACGGAGACTCGAAACCTTAAACAGATGGTGAATGACAAAAGAGGTGGTGCGCCTGTCGGTTTTCCTCCGGAGTTATTTTTAGATAAGAGTTTCGTATTCTTTTTCCGTTCAATTTATTCGGAGCGCTCGGGCGGGAGTCCCACGTGATAAAAGCATTTTTTAATTTCAAGGAACACTCGAATGTAACCATAATACAATCATACCAATACTTGACTTAATTAAAACATAATAACACAACAACAAAACAATGATAACACCGTAGAGCACTACAAAAATACCACGGAGCTAATAACATCAATGCTACCAGAATAAGACCCGCATATACCATAATACAACCATACTAATTCATCACTGCGATTTTAATAAACACAAATGTAAATAACACTCCAATCACTCCATAATAAAACAATAATACTACATAACGAAATATAGAGCAATAATACTCGAATAATTCACTAATAATACAAATATAGAGCAATAATACTCGAATAATTCATTAATAATATCATGATATTGCAGGCAGTCAAATAAACATAACGAAACATACAACAACAACCACCGTTTAGTACATCTATGACAGTCGAATAAACATCAATAATATGTGGCAAAGGGGAGGTCGGTCCGTTGGTTTGTAGATTCAGCTCTAACTCTGTTGGTTAAATTTGTGGGCAATGAGATCAGAGTTATTTAATGACTCATTGAGGGCTTGGTCAGAATCAATGAAGAAGCTGAAAATTGCAATATATGTAATATTCATTTTAGTGGAAATGAGAGTTCCTTGATTGCTCGGAGACAATGAGATTAAGTTATTTAGTGATTCAGATAATCTTTAAAGATATATTTCTTTCAAGATTAGTTGAATCACTAAATAAACTTTAATATTTAAAATTAAAAGACTAACAATTTGTCATTAATAAATCTACCCAATCAAACATTAATCTTAAGACACTATTTGGGTTAAAAATTCCTATGATTATGCGTATGACCATTTGAATCTATCTCAACAAATTTATAGTTCAATTGAATTTTCACAAGACATACATTTATAACAAAAATGACCCAATATGACTCTAAAAGAGTGCACATAAAAAATTTAAGGCATAAAAGAAAATATTGGGATATTTATTGAAAGAGTAAATGATCTCTAAATTTTACATATTTATGATTAATTCATGTGTCTCAAAAAGACAAATTTAATGAGCTCAAATACTTAATTTCAAAATCATTAAAACACTCAAACATTCAAAAATATCTTATAATCAAGAGGATCATTCAAGATTATTTAATGGTGTTCTAAATTTTAATTGTGTTTATACAATGACACTTCCAAGGGAGCGTTCATAAAATTGAAAAAACAAAAAGATTTGCTTAATCACCTTTATCAAATCAACCACACAACTATTATTGCCTCAAGCCACCATTGCACAATCATTACCTTTGAACTACTATTACTCGGCTACAAGTAATTGATTGCCCATCATTTCATTGTCTCGCCATAATTTTTCATTGCTCTCATAAAAGGCCAAACAAACTATTTTTAAGTCTTGCAATATCACCTCACCTCTTGAGGAGATATATTTCCTTACAAGATACATTTGTTTGAATCAATTTGACTATTATATGCCCTCCAATTTTTTTTCTTTTTAAACTCCCCAAATACAATACCCTTTTGATTTTCTTTTATTTATATATGTATTACATCTTTATACAAAAATGTCAAACTCTCACTCAACCATAGCACTTTTTGCTTACACATCGAAGAATATTCGCACAAGACTTTCTTATAATTTTATATTTTTTTAAAAAATAATTAACAAATTAAAAGATTAAAATATAATTAAGAGATTTACTAATATAAACCACTCCCAACTAGAAAAAAATATTATATATGATGAACATATATAGAAAAAAAAAATAATTAACAAATTAAAATATTAAAATATAATTAAGAGCTTTACAATCATAAACCACTCCCAAATAGAAAAAAATATTATATATGATGAACATATATAGAACTATCATTCTGGTACACATGTTTCATCATATATTTCATCATATGTAATATTTTCTCTCCAACTTAGAGCTTAAAAATTTGACAATGCTATTTGATTTCTCTAAAATCCATCATAATACAATTATTTTTATCATATATTTGTTTAGTATTCATAACCCAAAAGCATGTGGTGAGAGCGTAAAGAGAAATTTTAATACTTCCATCACCGCCTTTATGAAGAAAGAAAGTTGCATAAAACTTACAAGTAGGTCCCACTGTAATACACTAGTTAGAGAAGCTTTTTAAAAAAAGTGAGGTCCACTTGTCATGTGACAAATTTTCACTTAACTCCGGACGTAAATTTGAGTCCGGAGTCCGGATACAAAAATTTTTCCTTTATGAAAGCCTTCTAATGATGTCGAGGGTTCATAACAAATTAATATCAACCACTAGAATATTTAAATAACTTAAATTTATCTGCACACAAATACCAAATAGCAACCAAATTATAAATGATGGCAAACTCCTCCAATAACTTAAAAACCAAATGATTTAATATAACGGTCAATTCGCCTCTCACTAAAGTCAGGAAACAGACTCCAAAGCAATGCCAGGTTTGCGAGAACTTATCAAATGAAGTCTCCAAAATACTTTTGTCCCAGCTTATCACTGAAATACGGAAGGGAAGAACTCTGGTAGTCTAAGTAGTTAGCCAATGCATGTTGTTGATACTTTACGACATCGGAAGTATTTACGGCAGGCATATTCATAAAGCACTAATCTTTACAGCATTCAACCGTGAATGCCTTATTTTCAAGGCAATAACAAGAGAAGCAAAATAGGTTGGAGCTCAGCGATAGAGACTCTCTGATCTAAGATTTTCAGCAATCTCGGTCTCCCACCTGTCCCCATTCTCAAGTAATTTCTCCTTATCATACAGGAGCTCCTGCGAAAAAGAACAACAGTATCAACTAATCAGTGATAAGTGCCGCCTAAACTGCATTTGAAGTTGATTTCGGGTGAAACAAAGTGGTCACCTCATGGGTTTCAGTAGTGAATTCAAAGTTAGGACCTTCAACAATGGCATCGACAGGGCATGCTTCCTGGCAGAAGCCGCAATAGATGCATTTCGTCATGTCGATATCATACCTGCACATGCATACCATAAAAAAGCTGATAAGAAAGGCAACTATAAGGATTATAAGGCTTTGGCAAGTTTAAACTAGAACTGTAAACGACCTTGTGGTCCTCCTGCTGCCATCTTCACGCTCTTCTGCTTCAATTGTGATTGCCTGTGCTGGGCAAATCTGATGAAATAGCACAACATCATCCCATTAAAATATCAAATCTGGAACTTTTCCAAACTGGATTATCTCAATGCAATGCAATCAAATCTAAGCCAAATTTATGTTTAAAGACAAGAAAATATTATAATCTTACAGCTTCACAAAGCTTGCAAGCAATGCAGCGCTCCTCTCCGGTAGGATAGCGGCGTAGAGCATGTTCGCCACGGAATCTTGGACTTAGAGGTCCCTTCTCAAAAGGATAGTTTATCTGCAACCAAAAAATTAAAGATGATCCAGAACTTGACAAAACAGTATAGTTTTTTTTCTGAGCGAAAAACTACTGGCATCATAAAATAGCTAAGAATTAAACAATCAGAAAAATAAAACTTACAGTGACTTTCCTATCAAAGAAGTATTTCAGGGTCAGCATGAGACCCCGAACCATTTCGGTAAGGAAGAGTGTATTTATAGTGCGATCAAAAACTGCAGTACAGACAACATACCAGAAGATTTAAATCCAGCATGAAACTCGCATTACAATAAATTAAAATATAGAGCTGGATCCGAATGATGGATGGTGGATAAAATAGTAAAAAATTTCTTGGTAGCATACCAGCACTCCAGTCTTTGGCAATTTCCTTTGCTATCTGCTCTCTCTCCTCATCCGCTGCATGTAGACACAACCATTGTTAAGTATGCGCTCATAAAAAAATCATTCTTGACTTAAACATAGCATATGTATTTCAATTTTGCTACTGCTAACAGTTCGCAACCTCTTGTGGGACTACAAAACAAAGAAACAATACAATATAACAAACTAAACAGTATAATAAAAAAACAAATCAGATAACCGTACAATGTGAAATTCACAGCCAATGACGGTTCCTCCAAAACACAGTATCCTCACAGAAAATTAACCAACTTTTGAATCTGATATAGTTTGAGGGCCCGTTTGGGACAGCGTATCGATGCGGCGGCGTTTTCAAAACGCTGCCTAAGCGTTTGCTTCTCACATTGGAGACGCATTAATGGAAACGCCGTTTCCTATTTTACTTTACACGCGGACCGCGGATATAGGCCTCCTAGGTTTTACTCTGTTGCCCTCGTGAATCAGTTCCGCATCAGGGACTTTCCTCTTTCGTTCGAAGGCATATCTCTTGCATCCCGCATCCTCGCACGAATTTGTTCGGCAGGTAAGGATTCATTTTCTTTTCCCCCTTCCCCAACTCGACGAGAAAGCTCTAGACGATCCATCTGTTGAAATTTTCGGCAAATGGGGAGCTGGTTAGTGGCTAAAAGCCTAGATCCAATTGTTGGTAGAGGAATATTTATAGTGAAAATCTAGATCCACTTTTTTTTTTGAAATATATGAAGAATGGAGATTTTGATTTTACTGTGTGGAATGTTTCTGCTCTCTTTTTCCCTCTGTTATATTTCTGGAATACAGATCAAACGGTGATCTCTTTACGTTACAGTGGGATTGTGTTTTATATGCTTGATCTCTGTTTTTAACTTATAATATGTTTGATCTATGATTTCGGTGAATGTGGGAGATTTCATTTTGTTGTTGTGGCTATTAAAAATTTGATATGGCAAGAAGTATAAGCAATCTTTATGCTGATCTATATGCAGTCTCATATGGTAAAATCTATATGTAGTCTTTATCATTTGTTTACTTTAGAGAATTATATGGAAGTATTTATGCAGATCTTTATGCAGATCTTTATGCAAGATCTTTATGCAGTTTATAGAATTATGTAGAAGAACTTAAATTATGCATGATCTATTTGCTCAGTAGAAGTTTGTCATGAATATATGTTCCCATTATTGTTCTCTTTTTCAGATAGAAGTATGAATTACAATTTTATTTTTTGAAAGAAATATAGAGATAATGCAGGAGTGATTAACAATTCTCCTTGCATTTCTTCCCTTCCACAAAAATTAGATAATGGCATGGATCACTATAACATTTATGTAATTGTGTAATTTGTGTTCAAATGGCTCATTTCAAATGACTCGTCTCACAAAAATTTTATATGTTTTCTTTTCCACAAAAATGTGATTGTATATATGGTTTTTTTCTTGAACACCATTAATTTCATGCTAGCTTGTTTATCTCACAGTCAAAATGAGTAAACCTAAATAATCTGGATCATCGGCGATGTGGGATAAAGAGACCACCCTGATATTTTGTGATCTCTGTGTGAGAGAAGTTGAGTTGGGTAATAGGCCGACTACCTATTTCAATAAAGAAGGTTGGCAGAATCTAACCCTCAAATTCAAAGAACTGACCAGAAGGGACCACGATCGGATGAAACTAAAAAAGAAATGGGATCAATTAAAGAAAGACTAAAAATTTTGAAAAAAACTTAAAAGAGAATCAACAGGATTGGGTTGGGATTCACTTAAGCGGACAATAGATTCATCAGATGAATGGTAGGCTCAGAAGTTAGAAGTAAATACATACCTATATTTGGTTTTGCATTGATTGCATCTTTCTAAAGATTTTGACTAGTAATTTATATTTTATATTACAGGTAGTGCCGATTGCCAAAAAATTCAGACTTAGCGACATTGATCCAGTATAGGAAAAGTTGGATGGCATGTTCATAGGTGTTGTCGCTACCGGAACTCATGCTTTCACCCCAACTGACCAGAGCTTTGTTGGTCCAGAGCTTTCCGCTCTAGGATGCTTTGTCCCACCGGTTGATTGAACATCTGTGTATAGGTGAGTCTGGAGAAGATCCCATCCAACTCCATACAGATGTTCAATCAACCGGTGGGACAAAGCGTCGCAGGGTGGAAAAAAAAAGTTGGAGCCACATTTGTCAGAGGTTCCATAGAGACGCTACTTGAAACCTGCAAACCCAAGACTGCACCACCACACAACAAACAACTACTCAATTCAGGAGTGCCTTAAAATCCTGAATACATATCCTGCTGTTAAGGAAGACGAACTCATGTATTTAAAATATGTGAAGTTGCTAGGGAACTCCACTCTTAGACAGTTCTTCGCGAATTTGGACACAAAATTCCGAATTTCTTACTTGCGATCTTTTATGAATGATTGATTATGGTTAACATTTATTTTTATTTTAGTACTATTCATTGTAATAATTATGTAATGAACTATTTGCTTTTATGTCTTCCTTTAACTTTATGTGATTGTTTGTGTCATTATATTTTATGTTTATGTCTTCGTTTATTTCTCATAATGTAGTATCTTTCCTATTACTTCAAGTTAACGTTTAACATATTTAAAAAAATATCATTTACCACATTTTGTAGAATGGATGAAGAACTTAACCACAACTGCAAAGTCGCTCTCGCCCTTATCTTGCTATACTACTACTATCATACATACGTTGACAGAACCTCTTGTATGACATCGAGTCAGATTGGAGAAAAATGGTGCGGGGAGTTATTACGGGGACACCCGACAAGGTTTGCAAACATATTCCGTATGACGAAGGTGATATTTCTCGGCCTGCATAATGAACTTCGGGACCTTCATGGATTACATGGTTCATTAAGAACAACTGTCAGAGAGGTATTGGAAATTACCCTGTATATCTTATCCCAAAATGAATCTATTCTTATGTAACTGCATTGGATTGGTACGTATATGGGTAATATTTTCTGTCTTTATGAATGTGTTGGTTGCACTGCACTTGAGGTTGTATTAATGAATGCTACAAATTTCCAACTCTGTTGCTGGTTCGGTTAACCTGTGTTCTTCTGTTGTTGATTCGGTTATCATGTGTTTACATGAAAATTGTGCTTCACAATTTGTTGATGAATCTGGGATGTAGCTTTCGAATTACCCACTGTTTTAACATAAGAATTCTCAGCAGTTTACGGTTTTACCTGAAAATTGAGACATGCTCTTATTCCCTTCAAAATGACCATTTTTTTACTTTTAAAATGTAGAATATACGTGTCTATGCATAGGTAAAGTGGGACGTATGTAAAAATTGAAGTTAAGGTGTTACATATGTAAATATTGGTGTAAGTGTCATCTTGTCTCTGTATTCTCAGTTTTGCTTCAGTTAGAACGGATAACTATTTAGAAGTTTGAAGTGTTGTAGCCTTTATGTCTCTATTATCTTCAAAATCCATTAATTTAGGCCTTTTTCAGAGCAGAGTTCTACATTGAATCTTCATTTGCAGAAATAAACATTTTCATACATAGGTTTAAAGCACCAAAGTGCTATGTATGTAAGCATGGAAGTTTACGGGTAAGATATGTAAATACATAAGAATTGTGTGCTACATAAGTTAGCTTTTCTAGTTATTAAAATTGCCACATTTATGGAGGTTTTTTTTTTGGTAGAATTGGACTTAAATGCTATATGCAAAGTTATCAAATATATATATGCAGTTGCTGCAAAGTTTGTCATATATATATGCCATGTTTCTTATATATATATATGCAATGTTAGCTGCAAAGTTTCTAAATTATTTTAATGGGTAAGTTGCTCGAATGTTATATGCAGTTATCATATATATATATATATATATATATATATATATATATATAGAGAGAGAGAGAGAGTGTGTGTGTGTGTGTGTTTATTTTTATTTACACAATCTAGCATTCATATTTGATTTCAATGGCTTCATTCAGAGATGATTATCTTTGCCTTGATTCGAAGATGTACATTTCCATTTTTTTTCCTATATAATTGCAGTTGGGTCTTTTATGGCTGTCATAGTAACTGTTGTTGGGTGTCTTTTGTTGTTTGGTTATCGAAATTGGATAGATGGTGTCTCTATTTGAAGCAGTCTGGATGGCCCTTCTTTCAAGGCAACCGTTGTCTTCTGTATTTCGTTCGAGTATGGAAAATAATTTGTTGGGAGTTATGGGTTTGTTTATGAGCTTGGATGGCCACATGCACATGCGGTTATGTTTCATGTGTTTCATGTGGGTCTGTTGGAAATTTTGTTGCTACATATTCTTGCTTATATGATGGGATTGTTGGAAACTTTATGCTTATATGAGACTTTTTATTACATTGCTTCCCTGTTGCGGCATACCTGTTCATTTCGGTATTACCTGGAGTAAAATATTGTAATTACATTTCAGATATCATACTATATGGTGCTGGTTTGGTCTGCCATTACATTTCAGCTTGGGGTGTTTGGGGGAACTGTTGTTCTCTTCCTGGCTTCTACGCTGCTTGTTGTAGTTCTTAATGCGGTGAGAGTGACAATTACTAATGTTGCGGTTGTGATATATTTTGCATGATCCAATCGGTGGATTCAAGATTCTTGCTTTAATACAAACTGTTTGGGGATTTGCTTCTTATATTGTAGGTTCTGTTTCACTGGACAAGGTTTCTTTAAAGCTCTGCAAGTCTTGATCTTTTGAACCAATATTGAGAGAACATGATATTTATAAGGATTAAATAATTTGATTGTAGTTCTAGACTGCATGCCCTACGTGGGGCTCTAGCATTTTGTGGTGTTTGGGATCAGCGGAGGAAAGCTCTGCAATAAAAAACAGTGAAAATCCAAGGCCCGGTTGATATATTTCTAAAATACTGCCTTGTGCCAAGTAATATCTTATGAATCTTATGATTTGTTGTAGATGTAGTGCTGGTGTAATTCAAGTTTTTGACCGATCTACTCTTTTCATAATAATTATAGGACGATGAGCTTGAGGTA